AAAAACGTACTTTTGCGAACTAGTCCCTGGTTTTTTGCCGGATCGGAACCAGACCAGTCTGGGACAATTCTTTGGACTCTCTAGATCAATAATTATCAAAAAAAAGTTGAACTTTGTCATTTGTTTTGCTATAACAGGGTCATTAATAAAATGGGGCATGACAAAAAGCACCCAAAAGCCTATAAATCCTAAAGGAAAAGTCAGAACTTCACAAAAATTGATGAGCACATGTGTCATAACTTATTCAACAAGCATGCAAAGTTTCATGGAGATCGGACTATAGGTGGCGCTATAACTGTTAAAAATGTTAAAAACAATGTATTCCCTATGGTAAATTGCCATTATTGAAACTTAAACCTTAATGTCTTTTGATGCTTTTGTGCTTAAAGGCCTTAAAGGCCTAAACTGCTTGAACCCCGCTAAATGCTGCTTGCAGCTTTAATTAGGGGTTCAAGCACGAAGTGCTGAAACCCTATTGTTTTTGTACTGATTTTTATTATTATTATTATTCTCCCCTAAAACGCATCGTGCAGCCCAAACCGTAAGGGCTAGAGCTCTGAAACTTTGTCAGATGGTAGTACAAAAATCGAGGAGAGGTTATCAAATTATGAGCCCGATTGGCCCATAGGTGGCGCTATAACAACCAATTGCGCGAAACTGCTCATAACTCCTAGACCGTAAGTCGTACACTCAAGTGTCTTATATCATTGGAAAGCTATTCACCTGACGAAAAAAACGTATATCTCCGATTTCATTTCCGGTATGCAAATTTTCCCGCCATTTTGAATTTTGTTGAAAAACTACTTTTGCAAACTAGTCCCTGGTTTTTTACCCGATTGGAACCAAACCAGTGCAGAAATGTTCTCTGGAGTCTGAAGATCAATAATTATCAAAAAAATGTTGAAATTTCTCGTTCCGGTCGCTAGGGGAAGCAAAATAAACGTTGTGGGAGGAGCCTATTTTACTAAAATGGCTATAACTCGAGAAGTAAATGAGATATCTTCACCAAACTCGGTACACATGTGTAAGAGTTCAATTTGAGGTCACAGTAAAAAAATAGTGACGATTGAACACTAGGTGGCGCTATAATATGAAAAAAACATAAAAAGGGCTATGACCACATGACCGTTAGTCCGATTGACTTGAAAATTGGTATGCAGTGTCTTGGACCAAGGCCCCATGTATATCTATGAGGACATTGGCGTATCTAAAAAAACATGGCCGCCATCGGCCAATGAAGTTTGTGCATCTATGAAACAAGGTTAACGAAGGCCGATCGGAACGAAACTCGTTGGGCATGTTTGACTCATGGCCCTAGAGGTCTGTAAGAATTTTGAAAGAAATCGGCCACTAGTTGGCGCTAACGAGTTTTATGGCTCTGTTATCACGTGGTGTTGCACACACCCCCACAATATGTATATCAATTGATAGATCTCCTCATGCTGAACAACTTTGCCTCAAGAACCATTGCTGTCAATCAAATCGTTCGTTAAATATTCACGAATATGTTAAAAACGTACTTTTGCGAACTAGTCCCTGGTTTTTTGCCCGATCGGAACCAGACCAGTCTGGGACAATTCTTTGGACTCTCTAGATCAATAATTATCAAAAAAAAGTTGAACTTTGTCATTTGTTTTGCTATAACAGGGTCATTAATAAAATGGGGCATGACAAAAAGCACCCAAAAGCCTATAAATCCTAAAGGAAAAGTCAGAACTTCACAAAAATTGATGAGCACATGTGTCATAACTTATTCAACAAGCATGCAAAGTTTCATGGAGATCGGACTATAGGTGGCGCTATAACTGTTAAAAATGTTAAAAACAATGTATTCCCTATGGTAAATTGCCATTATTGAAACTTAAACCTTAATGTCTTTATGCTTTTTGTGCTTAAACCTTTAAAGGCCTAAACTGCTTGAAACCCCGCTAAATGCTGCTTGCAGCTTTAATTAGGGGTTCAAGCACGAAGTGCTGAAACCCTATTGTTTTTGTACTGATTTTTATTATATTATTATTCTCCCCTAAAACGCATCGTGCAGCCCAAACCGTAAGTGCTGGAGCTCTGAAACTTTGTCAGATGGTAGTACAAAAATCGAGGAGAGGTTATCAAAATTTGAGCCCGATTGGCCCATAGGTGGCGCTATAACAACCAATTGCGCAAAACTGCTCATAACTCCTAGACCGTAAGTCGTACACTCAAGTGTCTTATATCATTGGAAAGCTATTCACCTGACGAAAAAAAACGTATATCTCCGATTTCATTTCCGGTATGCAAATTCTTCCGCCATTTTGAATTTTGTTGAAAAACTACTTTTGCAAACTAGTCCCTGGTTTTTTACCCGATTGAACCAAACCAGTGCAGAAATGTTCTCTGGAGTCTGAAGATCAATAATTATCAAAAAAATGTTGAAATTTCTCGTTCCGGTCGCTAGGGGAAGCAAAATAAACGTTGTGGGAGGAGCCTATTTTACTAAAATGGCTATAACTCGAGAAGTAAATGAGATATCTTCACCAAACTCGGTACACATGTGTAAGAGTTCAATTTGAGGTCACAGTAAAAAATAGCGACGATTGAACACTAGGTGGCGCTATAATATGAAAAAAAACATAAAAAAGAGCTATGACCAATGACCGTTAGTCCGATTGACTTGAAAATTGGTATGCAGTGTTTTGGACCAAGGCCCCATGTATATCTATGAGGACATTGGCGTATCTAAAAAAACATGGCCGCCATCGGCCAATGAAGTTTGTGCATCTATGAAACAAGGTTAACGAAGGCCGATCGGAACGAAACTCGTTGGGCATGTTTGACTCATGGCCCTAGAGGTCTGTAAGAATTTTGAAAGAAATCGGCCACTAGTTTGGCGCTAACGAGTTTTATGGCTCTGTTATCACGTGGTGTTGCACACACCCCCACAATATGTATATCAATTGATAGATCTCCTCACGCTGAACAACTTTGCCTCAAGAACATTGCTGTCAATCAAATCGTTCGTTAAATATTCACGAATATGTTAAAAACGTACTTTTGCGAACTAGTCCCTGGTTTTTTGCCGGATCGGAACCAGACCAGTCTGGGACAATTCTTTGGACTCTCTAGATCAATAATTATCAAAAAAAAGTTGAACTTTGTCATTTGTTTTGCTATAACAGGGTCATTAATAAAATGGGGCATGACAAAAAGCACCCAAAAGCCTATAAATCCTAAAGGAAAAGTCAGAACTTCACAAAAATTTATGAGCACATGTGTCATAACTTATTAAACAAGCATGCAAAGTTTCATGGAGATCGGACTGTAGCTAGCGCTATAACTGTTAAAATTGTTAAAAACAATGTATTCCCTATGGTAAATTGCCATTATTGAAACTTAAACCTTAATGTCTTTTGATGCTTTTGTGCTTAAAGGCCTTAAAGGCCTAAACTGCTTGAACCCCGCTAAATGCTGCTTGCAGCTTTAATTATTATTATTATTCTCCCCTAAAACGCATCGTGCAGCCCAAACCGTAAGGCTAGAGCTCTGAAACTTTGTCAGATGGTAGTACAAAAATCGAGGAGAGGTTATCAAATTATGAGCCCGATGGCCCATAGGTGGCGCTATAGCGACAATTGCGCGAAACGGCTCATAACTCCTAGACCGTAAGTCGTACACTCAAGTGTCTTATATCATTGGAAGCTGGTCACCTGACGAAAAAAACGTATATCTCCGATTTCATTTCCGGTATGGAAATTTTTCCGCCATTTTGAAATTTTGTCGAAAAACTACTTTTGCGAACTAGTCCCTGGTTTTTGCCCGATCGGAACCAAACCAGTGCAGAAATGTTCTCTGGAGTCTGAAGATCAATAATTATCAAAAAAATGTTGAAATTTCTATTTCCGGTCGCTAGGGACGCAAAATAAACGTTGTGGGAGGAGCCTATTTTACTAAAATGGCTATAACTCGAGAAGTAAATGAGATATCTTCACCAAACTCGGTACACATCTGTAAGAGTTCAATTTTGAGGTCACAGTAAAAAAATAGCGAGCGATTGAACACTAGGTGCGCTATAACATGAAAAAAACATAAAAAAGGCTATGACCACATGACCGTTAGTCCGATTGACTTGAAAATTGGTATGCAGTGTCTTGACCAAGGCCCCATGTATACCTATGAGGACATTGGCGTATCTAAAAAAACATGGCCGTCATCGGCCAATGAAGTTTGAGCATCTATTGAAACAAGGTTAACGAAGGCCGATCGGAACGAAACTCATTGGGCATGTTTGACTCATGGCCCTAGAGGTCTGTAAGAATTTTGAAAGAAATCGGCCACTAGTTGGCGCTAACGAGTTTTATGGCTCTGTTATCACGTGGTGTTGCACACACCCCCACATATTGTATATCAATTGATAGATCTCCTCATGCTGAACAACTTTGCTCAAGAACATTGCTGTCAATCAAATCGTTCGTTAAATATTCACGAATATGTTAAAAACGTACTTTTGCCAAACTAGTCCCTGGTTTTTGCCGATCGGAACCAGAACCAGTCTAGGAAATTCTTTGACTCTTTAAATCAAATAATTATCAAAAAAAAGTTGAACTTTGTCATTTTTTTTGCTATACAGGTCATTTATAAAAGGGGGCATGACAAAATGCACCCAAAGCCTATAAATCCTAAAGGAAAAGTCAGAACTTCACAAAAATTGATGAGCACATGTGTCATAACTTATTCAACAAGCATGCAAAGTTTCATGGAGATCGGACTATAGGTGGCGCTATAACTGTTAAAGATGTTAAAAACAATGTATTCCCTATGGTAAATTGCTATTATTGAAACTTAAACCTTAATGTCTTTTGATGCTTTTGTGCTTAAAGGCCTTAACGGCCTAAACTGCTTGAACCCCGCTAAATGCTGCTTGCAGCTTTAATTTCTGTTAACATTTGTACATGTACAGCCAAAGATTAGATCATGCCATCTCACAAGGAGAGGAATGTGTGTTTGTTTATATACAGGTGAGGGCTATGCAGAGACCTCCTCAAGGAGTAAAGCTGGTTATAGAAGCGGTCTGCATCCTAAAGGGCATCAAACCTAAGAAAGTTGCTGGAGAGAAGCTCGGAGAGAAGGTGGATGACTACTGGGATGCAGGAAAGGGCCTTATGCAAGATCCAGGAAAGTTTCTGGATAGTCTGTTTAAGTATGACAAGGTAGGGTGAAGATTTTGTATGTGAGTTCTATACTGTAAGCGACCTTTTGTTTACTATTTGTTGTCGCGATTAAGAGATGTTGATTTTTTGTTGTTGTTTTTGGTAGTATTTACACAATACCGTTCAAAAGTTGGGGTAAAAATGTATTTAATAAGGATGCATCAAATTGATCAAAAATGACAGTAAAGGCATTTATATGTGTTACAAAAGATTTCTAATTGAAATAAATGCTGTTCTTTTGAACTTTTTAAAAGAAAAATGAATTCCACAGAAATATTAAGCAGCAGTTTTCTGCATTAATAATAAGAAAATTTTAATAATATTAAAATTTTAATTGTAATAATATTTCACAATATTATTAATATTGTTTTTAATCAAACAAAAGCAGCTTTTGTTAGAATTAAGAGACTTCTTTCAAAAACATTTAAAAATCTTTCCGGCCCCAAACATTTATATGGTAGTGCATTTTTTTTTTTACTACGAAGTTAAAATATTTATGGCATTAGAATAATTAATTAAAACATTTTAGCTCAAAATGTATAAAATCCATTACCAAGTTCTTGTCTTCTTCCCACAGGACAACATCCCAGATGCTGTGATCAAGCAAGTGCAGCCTTACATTGACAACCCAGAGTTCCAGACTGAATCAATCGCCAAGGTGTCCAAAGCCTGTACTTCTATCTGTCAGTGGGTGCGAGCGATGCATTTGTACCATTTTGTGGCCAGAGCTGTGGAGCCCAAACGGGTAGGAGCTTGATTCATTTCGGCTAAATCCATTATTTAGCTTAGATCTCCTCAAATGGACATGTTTGGTTTGTGTATTTGATTTTATATGCCTGTCTTTTTTGTATGTAAAAATATTTGTAGGGCTTTTCTGCCTAAAGCTGTTCATTTTCAATCTAATGCGTGCAAACATGTTGTTGTGAACAGACCAAAACTAAGGCTTATTTCAATAATTATATTAATGTTTTAATGTTTAATCTTTCTTTGTGTGTGGGAACAGCAAGCCTTGAAGGAATCTCAGGAGGATCTGGCTGTAACACAGCGCATTCTGGATGATGCTAAGGAGAAACTAACAGCTGTAGAGGAGGGCATTGCCACCCTGCAGGCTAAGTATCATGAATGCCTGAGCAAGAGAGATGAGCTAGACGCCAAATGCCAGCTGTGTGAGAACAGATTGATCCGTGCAGATAAGGTGAGTGGAAAAAACAACTTACTGTAATATTGGCGGCTGGTCTGTCAAACTGACCTCTGTATCATTTTTTATGAATATGATATATGACTATTGAATATGTTTTGTCGATGTTCATTATACATTGAGTTTATATTGAGCACATTGAGGTTGTGTTTGTTGCAGCTGATTGGTGGTCTGGCTGATGAGAAGGTGCGCTGGAGAGAGACAGTACAGCAACTGGATTACATGGTGAATAATGTGGCAGGAGATGTGCTGCTTGCTGCAGGATACATAGCTTACCTCGGACCCTTCACTGTGAGTGTGTGGGAGGGAAAATGCATGCTGGGTAGAATGATGTTTGAATGTCTTTCGTTAATTATGAGGGTTTTTGATTACAGAACATGTCCGGGTCAGATTTCACCCCAAAATCAAACAAAATAAATTGGAAATTTTATTTTCTCTTCGATATTTTATATTCTTGAGAGTTTTCTCATTACCATAATGAAGAAAAAAACTATTCTTTGACATCTTATTGTGATATTCAGCCATAGAGAGTGAATGTAAATACATGCATGTATGATTTTTGCAGGGAGAATATCGTTCAGCTATGGCTGAGGAGTGGCTTAGAGGTTTTAAAGAGCTGACAGTTCCTCACACAGAACAGCCCAACCTGATCAGCACACTAGGAGACAAAGTCAAGATCCGCTCTTGGCAGGTTAGAGACCAACACATATCATACTCATTGTACAACATTGTACATGTACTTAAGTGATGTTCATGGACATAATATATTATGTTTATTAAGTTTTATATATATATATATATATATATATATATATATATGTGTGTGTGTGTGTGTGTGTGTGTGTGTAATTTTGTGTAGATTGCAGGCCTGCCCAAGGATAGTCTCTCTGTCGAGAATGGAGTAATTGCACAGTACTCTCAGCGCTGGCCTCTGTTCATCGATCCACAGGGACAGGCCAACAAGTGGATTAAGAACATGGTAAGAATGCAGAATTATACTAGTGTATATATATATATTTTTTTTTTTACCTCAAATAACAAAACTAGCTGAATTGTGCACTAGCATTCATAGGTTTTAGATGAGTAAAAACAGTACTGTTGTGAAATATAATTACAATTTATGTATGTTCTCTATTTTAATGTTTTAAAAAAATATATAATGTATTCCTGTGTTGGCAAAGCTGAATTGTCAGCAGCCATTACTCCATTCTTCAGTGTCAGGAAACTTTTAGTATTCTTCGATAAATATAAAAGGTGTGAACAGGCCTTTTTTTATTATAGAAATCTCATTATAAATGTCTTTACTCTCTTTTATGATCAGTTTTATGATCAGTTTTATCAATTTCTTACAAAAAAAACTTTATAATGGTAGTGTATGTCATTTACAACAATTAAACTTTTTTTCTGCCTTTTCTCATAGTGTTTGTTTTGTTCTGTTTCCGCAGGAGCGTGATAACAGATTGGATGTGATGAAGTTGAGTGACCGGGACTTCCTGCGTAGTTTAGAAAATGCTATCCGCTTTGGAAAGCCTTGCTTGCTGGAGAATGTTGGGGAGGATCTAGACCCTGCACTGGACCCTGTGCTCCTACGACAGGTACACATCACTCTTTTGTGCAAATAAATCATAAAATACAGCTCAAAAGCTGCTATAGCTAGGCTAGCATATGTTTTTAATGGTCAATATTTAAATCAACCATTACAACTTCAGTGTAAAGCTGATTTTCTTGTGTGTATGCTCCTCAGACATATACCCATGAAGGCAACGTAGTTCTAAAGCTCGGAGATGCTGTCATTCACTATCATGACGACTTCAAGATGTACATTACCACTAAGCTGCCCAACCCACATTACTCACCCGAGATCTCTACTAAAGTCACTCTCATTAACTTCACCCTCTCTCCCAGGTTACATTTCTTCAGACATAAACATAATGAAGGCTTCTAGGTTGTGAGGTAGATCCTGAATTTCACACGTGCTGGGTTTCTGTGTGTGTTAATGCAGTGGGCTAGAGGATCAGCTACTAGGGTGTCTCGTGGCTGAAGAGAGACCCGATTTGGAAGGGGCGAAGAACCAACTCATTGTGAGTAACGCACAAATGAAACAGGAATTAAAGGAGATTGAAGATCAGATCCTGTTCCGACTGAGCTCTTCAGAGGGAAACCCTGTCGATGACGAGGAACTGATAAGAGTGCTTGCGGCCTCCAAAGTCAAAGCCGATGAAATTCAGGTATGTCTGATAGAAGTGCTTGTGTCTTCCTTGCTTGAAAGGCTAAATGTGCCTTCTGTTTAATTTAGCATCTACTGTAAAAGTATCTAATACCAAACAAGCGATGTTTTGTAGGCTAAAGTGACTGCAGCGGAGGCGACTGAGAGGGACATTGACGCCACTCGTCTGGAATATGTCCCAGTGGCTGTCCGAGCCCAGATACTCTTCTTCTGTGTGTCAGATCTGTCAAACGTGGACCCCATGTACCAATACTCTCTGGAGTGGTTCCTGGGTATTTTCTTGGGTGGCATTGCCAACTCAAAGCGAGCAGGTAGAGAACATGCCCTCTTATTTTTAAAACTGTGTACTGAATAACCTGACAAATTTTCTTAATTTTTTTGGTTCTTGACCTTTTTGACTTCAAGGACCCTCATTGTCCACAACAATATTCAAAGTTATTCCATAACGTTTCCAGTTGTTTGTAATTTACTGGATAAGGATCAAGTATAAGGATGTTTAATTTAGTATTTATATCCGATAAAATATTTTAGAGCTTGGCATGAAAAAAT